GAGGGTGACAAGAAAGAGAATAGGAAGTCCTAACTAATGTACCTGACTGGCACGAAGCTCAAGGGCAACCTCTTCTTGAGCAGTTAATTTTATCTGAAAATGGAAGAAACAATTCACCAGTCTTGGTCAAAAAGCCAGCCAAAACACACCTATACTAGATGTCGAAGAATACACTTCTCCTTCTAAGTCATCTTGTATGTGTTCTAAGGGTGTTTACAGCTGAAGGAGGCTCCATAGTTTTTCCCTTCTAAACAGGGTGAGAGATCAAGGTCCATACCACATGCCCCACTGATTGCCATGCTGGATGAGCTGCATCCCCTGAATAACGCAGTCGTAGCTCATCACCAGGTACTAGTCGTAACTCATTGTCTTCCTAAAAGAACAGCACCCTATGTTCAGTCCAGATGAGTGAAGACACAAAAGAAATCCCACTTCAAGAAAGAATTGGCTATGACAACAATGTAACAACACAAGAATTTCAAGCTTGATGAGAGGCATTGGAGGCAACTTTTATGAGGATGATAATATACCTTCGGGAAAACAAAATATGCTACCCGCTTCTTGTTGAGACCTATATCCCATCGAACAGTGAGGTTATCTTTACTTTGAGACTCTTTCATCATCTACCAAATAGAAATAAAATCTTGTTATGTCAGGCAGTACGAAACCTCAAAATAAAACATTACAAGATGGAGAAACGACGCTATCAGTAAAACTTTTTGGGGTCTCATACAACATTACCAGTTTCACAAAAAAAAGGACGCTGTCTTTTTTTTTTAGAAAAGGGTATCCTTGTATTCACACCAAAAAATTCATCATCCAAAAAATGATGAATTGGAAACTTACATCCCACATAGGGTATTCTTTACAGAAAAAAAAGGATGCTATCATTAGGTAGTTGACAAGGATAGAACACATAAGAGGAAACAATGTCTTAGATTGATTGACTACAGAATTCAATCATAAAAGAAAGAAGAAATATCGCATAATTTAAAGATTAGAAACATTTAGGAGCAAAAATAAGGTTACTAATGACTTGAGACTATTGGATAGACCCTCACTCTACTGAAATGCAATTCTAATGGTACTACGTCACCCAAAAGAAAAGGAACTACTACACTATCCAAAAGAAAAACCTACAAAGGAAAATGATCCACTAAAGGAAAGCAAACGACATTTTTGGATGGAACAAAATGCCAAGAAAAAAACATATTGCACTCAAAATTCAGCAAGTAAAATATCTAATGGCTGACATACCTTATCATAGTCAGCTTCAAGCTTGATCAGCGGTGCAAATATGTTTTGATACTACATTAGAAGGATAAAACCAAACTTAATTAACATGTCAACCAGAGAAGTGATTCATGAATACAATCCAGGGCAATTTTATGGAGCATTTATTAGACAACAAAAGCTAAACAATATAGGATAGCAAAATCAAAGACACCTGATAGGCATCTTCATACTTCAAGCCAACAGGCTGAGGTTCATCATCCACACCTGGCTTCTCAAGATCTTCCAGGTTAGCATCAGGATTTGTCTTCCACAATTCTTCAATTTTATTTATTTGTTGAGCACTGATTTGTCGTGCCCGCAACTGTTCTTGCTCTGATGGAACCTGAAGTAGGCAATAGGTTACAGAAACAGGAGAGGAGCAAAACTCAGAAAGCACCATAAGAGGAATCAAGAAAGAGAATCCCAAACCTTAACGAGCCACTGCAAGAAACACCTATCATCGATAAGGGGGCACCACTGACTCAAATCCCAATTCATATCCTTCAGCGCATTAACATTTAAACATGGTTCCCTGCAGAGGAGAACAACGACACTCTCTGTCTTGGCAGAGATGAAACCAAGAAGAAAGACGTTTCGACATCCACAGTTGTAGCACTCTAGAATTGTTTCTCCCAGTGGACTATCTTTATGAAGACAAACCTCCTTGTGTTTCGCTCGGACCTAAGGTGAATGTAGTGGATTAAATTCAGTAATTTCTAAATGCCTTGTTTCTAGAGTGAGAATGACAGATGTACCAACTACAGGAAAAACCAAGATACAGCTAGCAAACAGATGTAGCTCATAACCTATTTTTGTCAATGCATGAATATTTCCCACTGTTTACTATAGTAACAAGATTCAAAATGTTAGCACACCACGCTTACATGAATATGTGTCCAATTTATAGGTGAACTCACATCTAATGGACATTGAGCATGTAAAAGAGAGAGATCAAATAGAGTACATTAACTCCCTTAATAAATCAGCAAAAGGTACTGCCTTCGCTCTTTATTTATTTTAATAAGTAGATAATGCCTTCACTTTTCAGCTTTGATATAATACAAAGATCAGTTCAATTTTCCCTCTACATCTAAGAAAGTAGACTTGCAAAAGAAATAAAGTCTTCAAAAAACTGACAAGAACCTAGTAATCAGAACACGAAGAAATGGACACAATAAAATTATAGGCCCTGATATTAGCATTCCAAACACAAAAAAACAGGTCTAAAGAACAACGGTTTCATATTTCCATGTTGAATATCAATCACCATGTCCAAGAGAAAGAACTGAACATGGGAAAAGACCTCATACATAACAATAGAGTATCCGAAAGTGAAAGAAAATATTTTAAGAGGCACAAAGGATTCTTCGATAAGCTCAGTTCCTTAAATTAAACGACTAATACTAGATCATTTTAATCAAACTAGTTGGAGTTGGTTGTACAAATCCTCCACATTCTTTTTAAAAAAAATTAAGGGGTCATTTGGTAGAGTGTATAAGTCACAACCTCATTACAAGCAAAATCATATAATGTGATCGAGAGCAGCAATATATTCACAAGTTTAAAGTTTCCATTTCAAAAACACACTATTCTGGCCATAGGTCCACACTACTATTACTCACAATTCTTTTTGAAAAGTAAAGTAACTATAATTTCACAATTCACAGTTTCACACTACCTAAAACATCACACAGCATAGAGAAAGTAGCTTGTCAATTGTACCAAAGCATCTGGTCCTTCTTTTGGCCCATTTTCATAATCACAAGTATTTGACAAAACACAGAAAAAACTAAGCATACATACCAAGTGATTAACAATATGAGAGCCTGAAGTATTCCCTCTCGAATTACAGAACCATTTGCGGCAAGATGGGACGTTACACCTAACCACACAAGCAGGATTCGTCACTCCGCAGTACTTACAAGCATGTTCAACCGCAAAATCTCCTTTTCCATACTCAAAACTCTCATCATCACCAGTCTCTTCAAAATTCAACCCGCTCATTCCTGCCGCCAATGCATCCACTGCCACCGCCGCCGCCTTATTACTACTAATCTTACTACTACTACTCCGTCCACCATCACCGCCACGTGATTTACCTGACGCTTGAGAAGCATCAGACGACGACTGCGGACGATCAGGAGCTTCAGAGACTAAGGAATCAGACGGTGTAGGCCAAGCAGATGATCTAATTGGCTGTGAAAGCTCATGAAACTCAGGATAATCAAATTCTTCTCCCTGTGTGTTGAATTCCAAAAATGTGTACGCATCGTTACCCGTGTCCGGCTGCGACGCTGTGTCGTACAAACTGTTGCTCTGAGAATCCATTTTCGGTGATGACAGTACTCGTTAATCACATACGAATTCAGCGTCAGCGTTAGGGTTAGGGTTTAGGAATTTGAATGCGAGGAAGAAGAAGGAAACAAATTACGTTTTTGTTTGAGATTTGTTGGAGAGAGTTAAGGATTTACAGAGTATGGAGATTGAGGGAGATCGAAGAAGAACAGAGATAGATACAGAAATGTTGAATGTATAGGTGAGTGCGTTGTTGTTATTTTTTTCGTGAAGACGTCATGGGAGGGGGGGAGGTGGAGTAACGGCGGGGAGGTCACGTGAGATAAGACTTGATGCTCTGTGTGATTGGGTGATTTTCGTTTGGTCTTGTGACTATGGGCACGTAACTCGAGGGTGGCGCGTTGAGTTGTTCTTTTTTTTTGGATATAACAAATGCCTCCGTAGGAGTGGAGATCGCATATTAGGATAGAAGGTTAATAGGGTTAGAGTGTCGTCTTGTTTTACGAAATTTGAGGCTTGTAAATGTTTGTTATAGTACTTGTTGTATTCTTGTAGTCTTTGTCCTATATTGTTTATTTATTTATTTTTAATTAAATACTTTGGACTAGTGATCCGTTTATTTCTCTTCATCAAGAAGTCATACAAACAATCAGAAAAAAACCCAAGATAAGAAATGTTCAACTGGCCCATATTAGGAAATTTAAGACTAGCTAAGTACTAGTCTTCCCCTAAAATAGGATTTCCAAATTAGAGCTTCCCATAAATTCCAATCCTACTCTCCATTGCTCCCAGGTTTCTTGCTCCCTTCTCCTTGCCATAGCTCATTATCTTCCTCTGGGTTATTAATGTGCTCCATCCATGGTTGTGGAAGTGTTGTATCATCTAACAAAGGTATTTGCTTTTTGATGTTGTTCCACCTCCAACTAAACCAGCAATTAACTTTATCTTTTTTGCAGATGTGAAATCCGGTGGAGGTGTTTGTAGTTCAAGATGAACTTTTTGCTAGGATTTAACCATGACACTCCTCCTGAAGGCTTTGAACGACATTCTGGATCGAGTCTGCACTTTCAGTGTTTTATCGGTTTGAATTCCCTATTTTTCTGGTCTTTTTTTGTGAGTTGAGATAGCTCTAGGCTAGAAAGCTTTAATACAACTACATTGGCTCTTAGAAGACAAAACTCTGATCTATACATATTATCGTTGTGTATTTCTGATTTGTAATTACACTTAGCTTAGCTTGTTGGGTTAATCCTCCTTGTTTTAATTCTCAATGACAGAATTTGTTGTTTGTCTATGTTAATGATTCGTCTTCCTTTACTTGGTAGTTTGTAGAAACTTCTTACTTGTATCTTCTATCTAGGGCCATATTTGCTAGATAGTCTGCGAACTGATTAGCTTCCCAAAATATATGCCTTATTTGAACTTGTTTCCTTGATATATTCCGTTGTATGTCCTCTATATTTTTCACTTGTGACCAAGGCACTTTCCACTGCTTTAGAAGCATGTGTTTGAGTGTCAATGAATCAGTTTCCAGTATAATTTTCTGAAATTTATGAGTATCACAGAACTGCATCGCTTTCAGTACTCCTATAATTTTAGCCTCCATATTTATTGCATCCCCTATGGTTTGGGCTTCTACATATATTATATCTCCCTTGTTGTCTCTTATGCTGAAGTCATATGAACCTTGTCCAAGATTTCCCCTACATGCACCATCTGTATTACATTTCACCCATCATACTGCTGGTTTTTCACAGTACATTATTATATAGTTTAGTGTTGGCTTGTAAATACTAAGAGTGGTAAGTATCTCCATCCAATCCTGAGATCCTCCTCTAACCCAAGGATATTTTACTTTCATTAGCATTTGGACCGTGTGTTAACATTGCCCCAATAGTCTAGCATATGTCACCTCATTTCCATGTTTTCTAGTATTCCTCTTTTTCCATAACTCCCACAAAATAATTGATGGTATTGCCTTGAGGCTTTGCTTCTCCTTACACTATCCTGGCCTGTCCCACCAAATAGTAATAAGTTGTTGCTTATTCCTTCAATGCTAATACCTGCACATGAAGCAAAGTTCTTCCATAACTTTTGAGCTATGGGAGCTGTTAGAAAAAAGAGTTGCATTGTTTCCTCATCTCCCACATTACAACAGTAACATTTGGACGTCACATGTACTCGTATTCTTTTAAGAACATCATCTATGGGAATTCGCCTTCGCCATACCCTCCAAAAAAAGAAAGAGACTTTAAATGGTAGCCCCTTGATCCATATATTATTCATCCATTCCTTCTCTTCTCTTTCTGCCTTGTTAATTGAAAAACTGATCTAACAGTGAAGTCTCCTTGATTATTTTCCATCCACCATGCCTTGTCTGATTCCTCCATGTTCATATCAGGACTAATAGTCTCCAGAATGTATTCCATCATTTCCTGAGATAATAATTGACTTAGTCTTATTGTGTCCCATTGCCCATTATGGATCATTTTTTTAACCTCCACTTCCTCCTCTACTCCTTTTGGTTCTGTGTAATATAGAGCACATTACTTAGTCCAGTTGTCCAGCCAGAAACTAGTAGTACCTTCCTTCTGTTGCCACCATATTTCATGCTCCACATCTTCTCTGATTGTTACCATTTTCCTCCAAACCTGTGAGGCACCTCTGTTTTGAGCCATTATGGGATGATGTTTTTTACAATACTTATTCCACAGAAATGTGCTCCACAAAGATGTCTGAGTTCTAAAAACCCACCACAGTTTAGCAAATAGGGCATTAGATATATCATATAGGGATCTAAAGCCTACTCATCCCTCACTTTTTGGGTAACACATATCCATCCAAGTCATCCAATGTTTACCTCTTATTCCAACATAGTTTCCCCAGAACAACTTAGCAAAGAGCTGATGGATTTGGTCGATAACATTCTTTGGTGGAGACATAATAGATAAAATGTAGATCGAAATCGATTGCAGTACATGATTTATCAATATATATTTTCCATCAAACGATAGGAACTTGTTCTGCCATGAGAATATTCTAGCAACAATCTTCTTGATTAAACCCTCAGAGTAGCTTCTTTTCTTTCTTCCATAGTATATAGGACAGCTTAGATATGTGAACGGAAAGTTACCAGGCCTAATCCCAGTCAGCTTCCTCAGTCTTACTGTGATAATCAAATGGGTCTTTTCATGGAGGTAGAAAAAGCTCTTTTCCTTGTTAATCATCTGACCCGATACCTTTTCATAATCCCTCAATATCTTCATCATTTAGATCACTGAATGCCTGTCTCCTGAGCCAAATAGAATTGTATCATCGGCATATGCCAGATGATTAATTTTAGGGCTCCATTTGGGCATTCTGAATCCTCTAAAAGACTCATGATCATTGAGTTGATTGAGGCTTCTGGATAATACCTCAGCAGCTATGATGAACAAAGTTGGAGACAAAAGATCCCCTTGCGTTAGTCCTCTAATTGAGTGAAAGAAACCATGACTTTGTCCATTAATCAATATTGAGTACCAATTTGCAGAAATCAGCCGCCAAACCATATTTATTATCATCTCTGAAAAATCAAACTGTCGTAGGACTTTAGTTAGGAATATCCAAGCCACTCTATCATATGTTTTAGCCATATCCAACTTCACCACTACATTAGCCTCCTTGCTTCTTAAGTGTATATCCCTGATAATTTCCTGAGCCAATAATACATTTTCTGCAATACTTCTTCCTTTTACAAATCCTGATTGATTGCGAGAGATAATAGTTGGCAAAACACTAACTATCCTTTCATGCAGCATTCTTGATATCACCTTATTTGTAAAATTGCTCAGACTGATGGGCCTCAAGTCATTGTATTCCTGCACATTCTCCTTTTTTGGTATCAAAACAAGGTTAGTATGTGTAATGAATTTGGGCAATTTTTGCCCACAAAAAAATGCTTTGACCAATCTCGTTAGATCCTCTCCTATAATATCCCAACAGTGTTGGAAAAACTTACCAGTGAAATCATCTGGTCCACTCACACTGTCACCATTTAAGGTAAATACCATTTTTTAACCTCCTCATTACTTGGCAGCTTAGTCATCTCCTCATTTTGTTCCTCCTCAATTAGTTTAGGAATACTTTGAAGCATATCATACTCCTGAATATTGCCTTCGTCTGAAAGCTGAATTTGAAAAAATTCAGTTGCTACCTCACCCATTTGAACATTAGTATTAACTTCATTCCCTCTAACATCTTTAATGCGATCAATATGCAACTTCTTTCTCCTTCCCCTGACATAAGAATGAAATTTTTTTGTGTTTCTGTCCCCATCCTTGAACCATGTCATGCCAACTTTTTGTCTCCAATACTCCTCCTCAATTGCTAGATACCTTCGTAACTCAGCTTCCGTTTTACTCAGCTCACACCTGTTAACTTGGGTAGGTTGGAGTTCTAGCTGTAATTCTTTTACCTTGATCAATTCCTCCAACTTTTTGTGTTTCTGTCCCCATCCTTGAACCATGTCATGCCAACTTTTTGTCTCCAATACTCCTCCTCAATTGCTAGATACCTTCGTAACTCAGCTTCTGTTTTACTCAGCTCACACCTGTTAACTTGGGTAGGCTGAAGTTCTAGCTGTAATTCTTTTACCTTGATCAATTCCTCCAATGTAGCTATCTTTTGAAAACATCACTATAAGTGTTTCTGCTCCAACTTGATAAGGCCTTCTTAGTATTCTTCAGCTTGTCTTGAAAGACTATAAATGGGCTACCATGTCTATCCGATTTCCAATGTTGTTTAGCCACATCCTCAAATTCTTTATGCTTAGTCCAGAAGTGTAGAAATCTAAAGGGCCTGCTATGTGGTTCCTCAGTAGTATTGCAAATCATATGCAAATGGGTGTGATCTGATTCATGTCTCACAAGATGATGAACTTCACTGGAAGGGTATAAATCCAGGAATTCCTGATTAACCAAGATTCGGTCTAGTCTCTTGAAAATGCATTCCTCCTCAACTCTTCCATTCTACCATGTGTACATACTCCCAATGTATTTTAACTCCATTAACGCACAATTATTTATACAATGTGCAAAGTCTGCTACTTCAGTTTGAGTGACTGCTAAATGTTTCTTCTTTCCTCAGTATTACATTGAAGTCTCCTCCTATCACCCATGGCTTATCTGAATCTTCAGCAATGTGTTCTAACTCTTCCCAAAGATCAATTCTTTCTTCATTACTGCACTTAGCATACACCGCCGAAACTAGTACAATAGTATTGTACCTGATTAACTTTAGTGTCAGTTGTTGATCCATATCCGATACAATCTGCCCTTCATAGTCGTCCTCCCAAAATACCCATATTTTGTCATTCCTGTTAAACAGTGCATTTTGATAACCCAATTTCCTTTTATATTATTCCAGCTCACTTGGATCCCTAAATGGTTCCATAATCGCTATGTATTTGTAATAATGTCTTAGCTTAAGATCAATCAATCTCTCAAAAGATTTCTTAGTGTTGACTGACCTTATATTCTATAATATTATTTTGTCAATCATTGATTAATTGGTATGAGTCGTTCCTTATAACTCCTTATTTTTACCTGGAGAGGTATAATCGTTTTCCCTTTTTTAATATCCCTCTTCAGACTATTCACATGCCTAGGCAAGAGATCCCCCGCTCGGTTGATTTGTTGAATATTTTCTTCCATCTCCTCATCCTCATCAAAATCATGTATGTTTTTAATTTGCTCCTCCAATACCTCTCTCAATGCTGCAGCTATTTGTACTGGTACTAATTACAAACATGTAGGAGTATGTATTCCTTCTTCTTTCCTGTCCACTAATTTTGTGTGAATACCCCGTTGACTGTTATCACTTCTTGCCTCTTGGTTTCCCATGTTAGGACTGTTTTCCTCCCATTGATTCATGACCTTTGTTGCTTCCAATTGCACTCGCAAGTGTACGTGGTCGCGCAAGTAATATAGATTCTTTAAGAAACGAGTTATCGTTCCCAAGGGACTTGTTAATTAACTATTTACTAAATTATACTAGTCTAATTATTTATTCAAAAAAACCAAAAAAGAAGATTGCAAGAAAAAATAATAAAATTACTTACAATAGTTGGAAAATCCCAGGGCTGCAGCAATCACCTCAATCTAATGGATCGATCGAGCTCTCTATATTCTCTGGTCTATCTAATCTCTCCTCTCCCGATTTTAAGAGTATCCAATAGATTTATCTCTAGATGGCAGTCAAGAAATACTAAAATAAGAATATAAAAGTAACTTATA